AAAAAAAAAAAAAAAGAAAATATGAGCTTGTAGGGAGAAAAAGAGAAAACCATTCGATTCGTATCACCAGCGTCCTTCATTTCATAGGAAATAGTACTCAATGCGCGCAAGAGACGATGCTGATTTTCCACGTCCACACGGAATTTTTCGTTCATCAGTCTAACGATTTGCTGCTGCAGCAAACTGCAGCGATTCGAATAGGCTCTGTCCTGTTGATTGATCCGCTGTTGTAATTGCCTACAAGATCGTTACATCCTACTGACCACTAAAAATTAGATAAGAGTGCAAGCCTCGTTTCTACTACACCCTCCATGAGAGAAGGAGTATTAAGAGGTGGTCTAACAAATAGCACTTTATCGCCGGCAAAGCTGCCCACTGCTGTCTTCGGAAGGGTGCCTGAGGAAGCCGAGATGTACGCATAAATGACATTAAGTGCATTTTCATCACTCCTAGGAACAAAGTTTGGGCTGAAAAGCTATTAGCTGGCAAACTGTGACTGAAAAAGACCAATCCTTTTCGGTGATTCGCCTGCAGCACAGAAGTTAAAGAGACCGCAGCAGTGGGATAAAGAACCGAAACACCTTCAATTTTCTTCAGAAATAACTGCTAAAGTACAAACCAGTGAAAGCTTTACCAACTGATTAGCCTGTCGAGGTCTGTCAGTGGAAGTAGCTTGACGATGAAAAACGGTCGGTTTTATCAGATACTTTTACAGATATAATTTCACAAGTTAGCAAAACGAGTCCCTCCTCTTCCTTTTCGCCACCATTGCCATGAATGTACTTATAACTATTACTTGTGCTTTTTTTTTTGTTTATACACGAACGTCGTCAACAAAATCGCACGGGATGCCCCCCTTCTAAAACGCATTGAGGAAGAATGGTTTTTGCATCCAGGAGGACTTAACAAATGCTAGATAACAGGGATTATATTTTGTCCGTGAGTTCAACATTCAATTATTGAAGTAATTTACCAGTATATCTCAAAAGCAAACCGACGATCTCCAGCACACAATACCAATAGATAGACCGCCAAAGAGGAGTTTTCAAATGCTTCAAATCGTAAAGCCTGTAACAAGTGACCGCTTTATAAGTGAGTGCTCATTCAGGGCAACACTCAGCCAAAAAGCTCAGATCAACAAGTCCACACCGATTACTGCTATAAGCCATTGATGCCATTCAAAAGCACTCATAGCGCTGAACATGCCAATCCCATTCATTCTAAGCTACATACCGCAAGTTCACTTCTTATTTTGTTCTAGATAAATAACATGTCGAAATTGCAAATTTACCTCAACGAGTTCAGGAAGAAAATTGAACAAGAAATCGGACGAAGCAGTTTTCAGCCACGATACTGCTTTTTCTCGAACAGTGAGATCAGCGAAACTAAATAATAACTTGTATGATAACTTCCATCATTCTCCGATACTGAATTCCTACCGTGGAATCAGATGAGAGGAAGAAGAGGGAGATCGTCACCTAATTCTTTTTGAGCACAGCGGGGACTAAATCGTCTGTAAGTCAGGAGACGCCGGCAATTCAGTCAAAAGGCGCAAAACATAGCTGGTGAAATGCAATAGTTCGACTAAAAGGGACAAAAACCAGCCACGCTGCATTGAAAGAAGTAAAAAAAAAAAAAAAAAAACACTGAGTGGACTGAATGGGATTGAATTTTATCGCTGCAGTGCCAAATGATGAGCAAAAATAGGAAAACTATTTTGGCCAACTGGCACTCCGTTACGCCTTGCGGTAGCTATATATTTCAGCCTCTTGCTTTCATAATTGTGTTTCTTAGCGATTTGTTTGTTTTCAAGCGCTGATTCGATTGCGCGTTCATAAAAATTATCGCAGACCCGACGGTTATGGTCGACAAAAATTCGAAGCCGGAAGGAGCTATTCGAAGAAATACTGCAAATGTGAAATTTTGAAAACTGTCACTGGAGGCAAAGCTTGGAGGTTACTACCTATGGAAGCGGAAAATGAAAAACTTGCTGAGGAAGTAGAAGTTCCATTGCTTGTACCGCACTTAACGGCATCCAATCATCCAGCAACTGGTAGATATTCGTTAGAGATGCCCAATCCCAGCCAACAGCAGAAGCCAGTACAAGTGGCAAAGCGTCTGGTATGTGCGTTAGAAAATGACGCCGCTCCCAAAGTGCTTCCTTTTCGTCTCTGGTCAGACTAAAAACAATCGAGAATTAATAAATGTTCCTTTTCAGCATGACCAACATTGATGCGCAACTACTGATAATTGTAAAGCGAATAACTCTATAAACTGAGCCTCAGTTAATCCCAGTGATGTTGTTTGGACATGATTTCCAGCTCCCATGCATAAAAGTCTTCATGCTTTTTTCGGACTGAGATGCCAGCCAACAGCGTTCATTGTGGGGATCGGATAATCCGTACTTGCCCGCTTCAGCACAGTTCTCATCAACTCTTCTCTGTGACAGCTTACAACACAGCATTCTGTTCAACGGTTTTTTTGCAGCCGACGAAGAGATGGTGCTA